CAAGGTAAATAAAAAATAGCTGTTCAGTTTCCAATCAGTGGCTTTTGTCCCTTGGAAATTAGTAGCATGCGTTTGCAGGCCTCGAGAAGATTTTTACATTCCATTTGTTTGCCACCTTTGTACAAATCTTAATTATAACCGTTATATTGAATGCTAAAGTGGCATCTCGAGAGTAGCAGCAATTCATTTGTGCAAAGCACATCCGCGTTGTGGTGAGGAGAACTTTGCGAAACTGGCAACTGGCACTGTCACGTCTGTGGGTGTTTTATCAGTTTGCCATGTGAACGCGAAGTGGGAGCTCTCGAACACAAAATACAAACTTGAATACGACGAAATAATGGCACATCGGGTGAGACTGACGTGCCGGAGATGCAGACGACGCCATGGATTTGCCGTCGGGTAATTGCCGTGCGCTCCAAACCATTCGCACTCACGTTCACGCCTACGGTCACTAATTGGGGAAGCGATGAAATCGCCCGCTGGCTAGATAGCGCGTAATTAGTCGAATGAGCATCAAACCCACTTTTTGATGAATGCTAAAACTGTCTGTTTCCGTCAAAATAAGCCCAATGATCAAGAGCGAATGGCCAATTAACTCGCCCTAGCGTTCGTCTCGGTAAAATTAGCCCAGTTTTTAGCCTGAGGTCCTGTCTCAATCCCTGCCGCTGCTCACTCGGCCCCCATTTATCGCCGGGCCATTTGGCGAGGACGGCTTTCTCGCTGACTGGGGTGGCGCTTGTGGTTCGCGACGACTTACGAGACTTCGAGAAGTTTGCGATCCTGTTCTCATCAAACCGGTCCCTTGTGCCTACCAATCAGTTACCTCAACCACTCGGTTTCCATTCATGTCGTTGTCTTTTTTTGTCTGTTTCTCTCAGTCGGGATTGAGGTGAGAGCAAAACGTGGATCCAAGTGCAGGGCAAGCATTGGAGGATTCCCACAAAGTATTAAAAAAAAAAATTGCGACAAAACTTTGGTAGAATCATGAAAACTATTTAACAAAAGTATGGGAGCCACCTGGGCTGCTGCAGATTTGTTTTTGTGTCTCCTGAAACTTGCCACCTTGTATTTTTTATTTTTCTTTCCAGTGTCTGTTGCTTCTCTGTTGAAATGAAAAAAAAAAGTGAGTTATTGTCAATTAAAAACAGATCTAATGGCAAGGACCCCGACAGGATATTTACTTTTGAGAATATTACCCACTAAACAAACCATCACCGGTATTCTAAACAGTCGCTTTCATTTAGCAGCTGGCACCTCTCCCAACTTTTAAACAACACTTTTTTTTTTTTTTTTTTTAATCCCCCCAGCAGCATAGAAGAAAATTGCATTTATTTGATAAAGCGCACACATTGACTCCACTTTCATCTGGGAGCTATTGATGCGATGTCAGCTTGCCGCAATGCAATGTGAAGGGATCATTAGGAGTCCTAAAAAAAAAAAAATTCAAAACATATAGCCTGAAGGAAATCATTAATGCAATTTGGTTGTGCATCCTTGCCACTCCCAGTCTCAAGTCCTGTGATTAGTCAAGTGACCTCAAGTCTGCTGGTTCTATATTCATCGATGTGACTTGAATTTTTTATTTATTTTTTTGTTGTTTTTGTTTTTTTGTCTAGGCAAAGTTAATAATACATCTCCTCTGTACTCGTAGAGGATGACGGATGGCCTTTTGACTTGTTTTTAGTAGCTTTGATTGAATAGCCGCATCTTGTTTCCAGTCGAACAAATGAATTTCAGTAGCCACCACCATCGGGCTTGCCCTGAAATGAGGTCCTTTTTTATTAGCTGTCTCTCCAGGGAGTAAATCGAAGTTTGGAGAGCGAGAAAGTGTGTGTGCGCGAGTGCTGGGGTGGGGGTTGAGGGACTGGTGAATCGTAGTCATCTCTTCGCTCAATGGATGCGCTTTTGAGCTTGAATGAAGTAGAAACGGAATACAAGACAGTCGTGATCAAAATATGAAATTGCAGCTTCCTGTTTTACATTCTGCCCGTGGAGAGCCCCAAACATTGTCAGCGGCTCGAGTTGAGTCTTGTGTCACGGAGGAGATGAGCGTCGTCGTTGCTAAGCAGGTATTTCACAGCGGAACGGAGGCTGTTTTTTTCGCAGAAGCGAAGCGGATGGGAGGAGTCAGGACATTGACACGACGGAAGTGAAAAATCTAGTCGACGCGGCCAAAATTCGCTCGGTTGCAAGGGATTTATTGAAATAACAATGTCACACGTCATCTGAGATGAAATTGCAAATCATGACACTCATGAAATCATTCAAGGCTTTTTTTATTTTATTTTTTTGAGAAACGGACATTAAATGTACGCCATTTGCAGCAGTTTAAAAAAAGTTTTTTTTTTTGTAATTTATTTTTCAGGTACCAGAATAACTTTAACCCTTCGAGTAGGACAGCGGTGACTAATGTGGACAGCTTAGCATGTTATCAGGTTACAGGGTGCATGAAAGGGTTCAAAAACGATTTCAAAAATATTCATGTTCATTGACCACACCCCCAGATAACAGTCACGTGTTTTGACCGCGCGCACACACGGCTACGCCCAGTAGAACTCATCAAAAGAGGGCTCCGTCCTTTTAGCAATTACCCACAATGCACTACCGGCGGCCATATTGGAGAGCTGTTATAAATAAGCCATACACTGTATGTTCATTGTGGGTAATTGCTAAAAGGACGGAGCCCTCTATAGCGTTCATCCTGAAAAATGAAGCCATGTTTTTTTTTGTTTTTTTTTAGCCAATACATACCATGAAATAAGTTTACCGATGGCGAGTCCACTTTTGACGTGAAAAGATGCAGTCCCGTATGGTCGTTTGACGGCACAAAATACTTTGGTCTGGCACATGCATCCAATTGCCACGCGTTCACGATCAGTAAATAAAACAAAACGTGGCTTTCATGCGGTTTCTGACTTTCCCACAATTCCCGCCGCGATGCATTTGATTTTTCTGGAAAGGTAACGTGTTTGTTTGCCTCTTTCACTAGCCTCCGTCAGATTAAATTTATCAGTGGGGGGGGGGGGAAGAGGAGGAACAAGAACAACAACAAAAAAAGGAGAGACGATAAATAAGGCGGACGGAATTAAAACGAGCGTGTGACAGAAAAAGAGGCATGAAAGTATCACCAAGCACTTTAAACAGCTCTCAGCCATTTCCCATTTTCACTCCTAATAAATGGAGGCGTCATTATTTAGTTTGCCTGTGCTGCAAGTTCCACTGCAGCCTTCTTTACCTGCTTATCAGGATGCAATTCTCCTATTTACTAATTGAGCACTGAGAGAGAGAAAGAGACAGACCTTGTTTGACGAATGTGTAATTTGTGTTCAGGCATGTCGTGTACCTCGCCTTGAGTGTGTGCGTGTAAAAATGGTCTGCGCGTGTGCTTGTGTGCCTACTTCGCCAAGAGAGATGATTATCTATTTACAGATGCCACCCACAAAATCCCAAGACCTTTTACTGCGGGGGCTGACTGAGCGAGCAAAACAGAAACGCAGCAAGAAATAGAGGCGAAGATTTTGTCGGTAATATTTTATTTGTCTGATTTGTCCCTTGAGCTTGCTCTCTCTCTCTCTCTCTCTCTCTCTCTCTCTCTCTCTCTCTCTCTCTCTCTCTCTCCCTTTTTAAATATTTGTTTTTAAACCACAGTCGTTTGTATCCTTTCACGTCTATCAACTTTTCATAATCACCTGGCACTGGTTTTAATCCAACCGGGGCCTTCACGATTCAATTTTATGATGACGTGAACGGATCTTCATGTCGAAACCTGATGACTGTGTTCCTTTTGTTGATCAGTGTGTCGGCCCAGCTGTAAAAGGACACACTGGTCACTTTTTGTTGACATACACTGAGATCGGGGGTGGGGGGGGGGGTCGCCCTTTGCCGCTTATTGTTATTTCAGTCTAATAATTATAATATTTAAATGAATGAGAGGTGCCTATTTATGGCACTGCGCCCTTCCCGAGCATCACATTTGCAAGATTAGTCACATACAGTATCGTCGTAAATATTCATACACAGGTACATTGGGAAGTGCAACGATTTAATCAAATTTGATTGTCAAAAAAAAGTCAGGATTTTTTTTTTCATACTTAATCATCAGTTGATACAAGTGGGATTTCAGCTTTTTAACTCTAAAAGCTGTCCGTTTTTATGTTGTCCTTCAGGATAGCGGACTTGTTATATTTGTGTTGAATCATGTATAAAATATTTGCTTGGATTAGTTAAAAAAAAAATTTTTTTTTCCTTCCCTGACATTTTGCTGGCCAAACCAGTCATATTAAATTTGTTTTCTTCACTGTTAATTTGAAATAATGTCCTGCATTTGGATCAAGGGATGGCCAGTTTTCTGATTAATGCACAAAATAACCACCAGATGAATCGATTTTTGTTAAAAGCGCAGGCCTAACGTATGTGAAGTCATGATTTTATTCCACATATAAGCTACAAAGCTGTAATTTGCGTCTGTACAGGTTAATATCTAACCGAGTATGTGGTGGTGTTCATGCCAAACGCATCGTGGCGAAGGTGATTACTCGTGTCTATATCCTATTTTATGATGCAAAGCGTGCCACACGTATGAGCACAAAGACTGCGCTCCATGATTTTAACCAGTTTTTTTTTCTATTCAGAGTTCAACCTCGACAGATAAGCTGTTGTATGTTTTTTCTCCTCAGCTTTGCCGAAATTTAGTATTTGAAAAGTGTGACTGTTCGGGGACCAAGTCTACCAATCGAGCCTTGCTGTGAGATCGCTGCCTTATAAACACTGCAAAAAATAAAATACAAAACACACTCAACATGCAGTATCGTGTCCCCCTTAACCTTTGATTCAATCCTCGAGTGGGTACTATTATTTAGTCGTCTAAATGTTATCTGAAGGCCCAGAAATCCACATGCACAGATCCCCTATTTCTGACATGCTATAAGCTGTGTAGGTTAAATCTCCTCCCACAGTGAATGGGGAGCATTGCGACTGTAGTTTGCTCACTCAGCCCACACCGAAAGCATCCCCACACTCGTGCCTCCACACGTTGCTCAGCATCCTTCTCCTCCCTGTAATCTCCCCTCCTCCTCCTCCTCCTCCTCCTCCTCTTCCTCCTCCTCCTACTGTATGTCCCTCTCCGCTCACGCTCTCTCGGTCTCGGTCTCAGCGTCGCTCAGAGCAGTTGTTCGGCAGAGCGGCGATACGTTTACACAGCGTGCGTTTTCGGCGGCGGCGCGCGCGTCTCCACAGCGGCGGCAGGCTGTGGGCGAACTCGCAAGAAAGGGAGCAGAGAGTCTGATAGAAAAAGGGAGAGTGAATGGCAAGCGAGGCAGGACTGAGCGGAACCGGAGAGAAAGCAGCACTCCTGATTTGTTGTAAGTACCCAACTGGGCGTTCGGTCGGTCACGATTGAGAAGCGGTTTCCTGACGAAAAGGATTCGGAAGAAGTGCGTAGGAAGTACACGGCGTCACTTTCAACATGTTGGCTGGACTTTGTTTGTGTTGCCCAATGGGGGGGAAACTGAGTCGTTCCTTTAGTTCTTGTGTGAGTTTTGTTTTGAAGTGGTGATGTATTCACGGTTGCTTGTCTCGACTGCTTGCGTTTCCTCTGGTCCAGCGGTCGGTGTTTGTTTTTAGTTTTTCTCACTTTCTCAAGTGGTTTCGCATGGATTGTAGCCAAACAAAAACTTGAAGGATTGTCCGAGTAGCTGTACTTTTTTTTTTTTTTCTGCAGTGATGTTGCGGAGAAGAGGAGGGACCAAGAGTTTCGGCAGGTGATGAGGGAAAAAAGTCGAACTTCCCTGCCAACTCTTCTTTTGACAGCACAAAATAAATTTTTAGGCGTTCTTAAATGCAAAATATTCCATTAAACTGTGGCCCGGAATGATGATAATTTTGTGGTGATCATGTCAGTTTGTTAGTTATACGGTGATATGTGCTGTTCCTTATACCCTGAAACATGCCATTCCCCAGAGTAAAAAACAAATCGCGCCGTTAAAAGCATATTATGCCGCTTCAAAAATCACGTGGAAAAGCGCCTGCTTGAAATGTCATCTAAATGCAGATGTTTTTCCAAGATATTAAACAGAGCGCCGCTAGAGACCAACACCTCCGTCACGACAAGTGTTTTTAGTTGCACAAATGTATGTGTGTTGAGGAGGGGGCGGGGTGGGGGGTTCCCGGAGGAATGACAGAAATTATATTTTGGCGGCACTGGGCTCTGTTGTTGGGATTTCCTTTCCCGGCCAAGATGTCGTGGATGACACTTGGCAATGGTGTGTCAAGGCTCAGCGTGGAGTGGCAAGAGTGTTTCCTGGGGCCACATGCAGGGAGATTTTTTGATTCAGGAGGGAGCGTCACTTTTTCAGAGAGGAGGCAAAGTCTGGTTTGGGGGGCGGGGGAGTGCACCAAAACTTGGTGCTTGCAAATGGAATGAAAATATTGTGATAGCGTATGTTATATGGATGAGTCTTTTCTTCTTTTTAATTTGTTGAGGCTCGCATATGTGCTGACAGGATTTTCTTGCGGGAACCAAGTGAAACTTTTGTATCCACAATATGAAAGAAAAAATGTGGGTTCAGGTGTAAGGTATAGAAGTGGAAGAATTTGTTTTCATCTTTGTCATCTGTGATAGGTTCCAACAACTCACTTATGACCCTAGTTCGAACAACAAAAAAAAAAGTTAATAAAAAATGAATAGATGGCCTTGTCGGGTTTCTTTTTTTTATACAATAGATGGCGGTTGTCATTGCTTTCCTTGCAACAAGCGAGACCGGCGAGTGTGATGGTGTGAAAATGCACATGCGTCCATTCCTGCAGGACTCGGACATGGCCACCTTTCGCACCTTTTACAGTATGGATACCTTTTATAAGAGCAGAAAATTTCCGGGGTCAATGTTGTAAAGTATCCTAGCATCACGGTGCATTAGCATAATCAAAAATCTTCAACTTGAAACACAACACATCACCATGATGTACGCTTTTTTTTTTTTTTGCGCAAAGCAAAGTGCGCACGTCCAAATGAAAACCCCCAAATTTTGAAACGATAAGGCCGACTTCAGATCAATGTCATCTCAGTCCGGTACCTAAAGCTTTGCGCAGGAATTACAAAACAAATGGTACACTGTATGCGGGGTCTACTCTTAGACATAGCTGCCAAGATAAGAACAAGGAAATATATTGTTTCTATAGAGTGGCTGTCAGGTTCACTTAGCCAGCGTTCAGTTTCCACTCAAGTCAAATGTGTGCATAAACGTTTATGGAGATGTCGCTTAACGATGTTTGGCTAGGTGTGATATTTTACACCCACCTTTAAATAGATTGTTGTGGTAAGCCTCTTTTTGTTTGTCAAATATTGAATGTACAGCGTAGTAGTGCGGGTTGTATGTAAGCTTATGGGTATTGTCTGATATGCTGCAGTGACAAAATCACCCCCCCCCCTCTCCCTCCCCCTGCCTGAAGCTTAATCCCCCCTCCCCAAAACAATGCAAGATGGATGGCGACGTGTTTGAGAGCTGAGCGAAATCGTCAGAGACACGGATGGGGGGAAAAGTGACAATTCGCCGTGAAGCCACATGGCGCAATGTGGATGTTGGGGACGGCGGTGCACTCGTGCGCTCTTTCAGGAAGAACCAAGAGAAGGATTTGCATGTGAACAAGGGCTTTAGGGGATATGCAAGCTGCTAATGTGACTTCAGAGAGAGTCTTTGGCAAACGTTTGGCGCCTTCAAAAACAGGTGTTCTCCAAACGGTTCAGGAAAGGGGTTTAAACATCCAGCAAGGTGTATTCCGCAACGCAAGCTTTTATTCACAACGGCAGACAACGACAACTGTTCCGGGTCAGCTCAGTGGCATCACCATTCTGAAAGCCGTTAAAGTCAGGCCTTCGGAAGAAAAGCACACAATAGCGGTGCACCACAAAAGCAAATAATCAGCGACTCGTCACGTCACGCTCTTGACGTCACTTGTCAAGTCAACAGGTCGAGCCTCAGCAAGTTTGATAGTGGCCAAGTTACCGAGAGCCTGAAAGGTAGTGCGAGTGGTCCGGTCGTGCGTCTGCAGTGGATCTGCGCCAAGTGCTCAAAGGATGACCTTGGGCTTCCTGTTACGACGGAGAGTCCGGTATTTCCACCTCATAACGTAGGCGGAGATGTCTGCAACGTGTCTGTGTGCTGCCCCGGTCCTGGCGAAATGTCTGGGGTTTAATATAGCGACATTACACTGCACTCCCTGAAGAAAATTATTTTCAGGCATGTAAATGGAAGAAGATGGCGTGTAATTCAATCTAGCGTTGTACTGATTTCTTTTGTCTTATTGTTTTATTGTATTACCGGTGTTACTTCTCTTCCCTTGACAGGAATAGCACAGCCCGACGCCTGAAACCTACAAAATCATTTTAAGCACGGAACAATTTTGCTGCTTCTTTATATAGCAGACAAAAAGATGACGTGCTGAGAACAGACCGGCTCTATTTTACGCATTCCACTCCTCCAGGCGCCGCGCCAAGTGAATTTTTAAGCGCCGGTCCGTACACTCATTCAGTCCGAATCTTTCCTCCTCCTCCTCTGTCGTCTGATTCCCTTCATCCTCAAAGCCTCCTCGCCGGAGTTAACCCCCACCCGGTCCTCTCCTGTCCGTCCGCCTCCCCAATGGCTTTCAGCTGTTCCATAATCACTGCAAAATTCTCTCAAAGCGAGCAGTTAAAATGAGAGGAAATGTTGCATGTTGGTCAAGATGCGCATCGCGTTTCGCCAGACAAAATGGTTTGCTCGTAAAACGAAACCAAGTTGTGTTTTTTTTTTTTTTTTTTTTTTTTCTTTGCGGCTCTTGTCACTCTCTGGTGTCGCTGTCTTTGTCCGCTTTGAGCAGTCGTTCAGGACTGGGCGATGGCAAGCAGACGTGCCGCGGCTAGCTTTGTGTCCGTATTGCGGGTTTAAGTTTTGTTTTTGGCAAAGTGGTTTTTACAAAAGTGCGATGGGGCCGAGTGTACCATCTGTTCCGTTGATATAGAGAAAAGAAAAAAAATATCTTCGGGAATGGCAAGTCTTTTACCCAGCGGACATGATTTATAGACGTGCTCGATTACATTTTTGTTCAAAAACATGTCTATCAACCTATATGCATGCAGTGACAGGTTGCGACAATATTAAGTGTGACCCAAAGGAACTCTGATCATCTTTGTCTTGACCGACGAAAGCTTCGGAGTGGAAACAATACAGTACGTCCACAAGCACGGATCAGCCACGCGAGTTGAAGAGGAGCTCATCGGCTCGGCGATGAAGTGCTTCCCCCATGGGTGAAAATGCTTTTTGGGTGCTTGCTTTCGTTCTGCACTCTGGGCTCCGGTCCAAGTTGAAGTCGGTTGTCTCCTTAATTCTGTGTTGTGATTCACTGTTTTGAATGCGAAGGCAATTGTCGGATTAATTTCATATGCAGAATTTTTCGGAATAACTTTCAATACACTGAGAGTTCACATCTGTTGACCCGCATTATGCGTGTTGTCGGATTGTAATCTCGTGCGCCGATTCGATCTCACGGAATGCTCGTCAAAATTTTCCACTCAGAACTATTCAGTCAGTACCAATTCCATTTCATATTATACGGCGGCTCATCTCACAACTACCAGGGTAATTTACCGACGTCATTGAAATTCATAAAGTCTCCTCCAATCGAAAGTCAGCTCTTCGCCACCAAAGTCCCAGTTGGTGTTGACAACGAGACCTAAATTACGTTCCCGTTCAATGGTGACCTTCCCCCCCCCCCTCAGCCTTATTTATGTCAGGAGACCGCAGCCGCGACACACTCCTATAAATCTGTTTCCGCTGCCGACCACACACGTCAATGTCCCAACAACTCCCAGAGCTCCCACATTTAAGTATTTGACAGGCCTGCTTCAGGAAGATAGCACGATTTAATGCAAGTCCCCGGAGTCTGGGGGCGAGGGTTAAAAAAAAAAAAAAGTAGGGGGTGAAGTGGTATTAGCTGGTGAAAAGGGGTTTAGGTGGTGTAGGTGGGATCTTTAGGAAAGGGAGATCCAGGCATGGCAGGTAAATGGTTAGTGTGAATTGAAACAGTTGAAGGCGCTTGTCGTTTCCAGAAGATCAAGGACAGTCATAAAGAATCCCCCCCGCACCCCAGATACATTTTTGTAATCACCAAACCAACCTCGATGAGCACATTTTTGATATTGAAGTGTCACATCAAACATCCTGGGATCCATTTTGTTGCATCGTTGCCCTTCTGGTGGACATTTCTCTCAAAACTTTGAACGCGAACGTGATTGGACAATTCCCGACTTGTAATGATTTTGCCTTTCAGCACAATGGTTGGAAATAAAACATGTAAGGCCTCATTCGAGAGAAAAGAATTTCTTTTC